AGTAAGCAGAAAGCCTGGTATTTATCAAGTGCCTTTCAGTGAAATCACAGGCACTTTATATCACTCACTCCAGACACAGTGGTGGTGAGCTACTATTGTCGTCACAGCTGGGTGAGGCAGACTGACTGAATTGAGGCTGCCAATCTGTGCCATGGACCCCTCTGACCAATACCACTTCCTAATAACAACATACTTTTAATTTTCAATTGAAAGGTAAGTTTTTGGGCTGTTACGATGCGAAAAGAAGGACCCAAAACTGTCAAACATATAAGATTTAAAAAACCAAAACTGGTTTATAACTCTAAAACTCACACGAAGACGAAACGGGAAAAAGTGATTAAAAAGTTCACACAATGACAAAAAAACGCTGTAAGAATCTGCAAAAGAGACAGAAAAGAAAAGTTATTAAAGTTAGTTAAAGTTATACAAAACACAAGTAATTTGGGCGACGGTAGCTCAGTTTGTAGAGCATTGGCCTTTGGGCCTGAATGTCCTGGGTTCGATCCCACCACAAGATCTGCTCCCGCTGATGTCTGCTGTCGTTGTGTCCCTGGGTAACTGAAGACACTTAACCCCACTTTGCCCGAAGCTCCTGCTGAAAGATCAAGGCTGTGACATTGCTGTCGGAGCAGCCGTCTTCCTCTTGACCCACCACCTGCAGGAGGATCAGTGAAGGACTGGTGCTGAGAGCTTTCAATGGCAGCTCTGATTGTCACCCCCCGACCCAGAAATGGACTAATAAAGGGGAAGTTAATGAATGAATGTTGTGTAGTTGTAAGAAAGAGCCCTCTGAGAAAGTAGAAAACATCAAGGACTCATTTGCGATTCTATGAAAGTGAAAAAGAGCCCTAGAATCTGAAATTGCAACAAATTGTTTTGAAATGTCAATAAGCAGGATCATATTGTTGACAGTTTTTGTGAAAATTTATTCCACACATTCTCCCAGTCTAATTTTGGCATTATATCTAATCCCTTCTACTGCAAGACTTCTGAGAATCAAACACAACACTTTTAAAACCCTGCATTTACTAAACAATATAATTAATGCATAAGATGAACAACCCCGCGGCAACGCTTTTAAAATATTTACAAAACAAATATGCCCCGAAGACACGAGTGACACGCGGTAAGTTCTTTCTGTGCATTAATAAGGACCGCAGAGCTCGAAGCTGTTTGATGTTCGCAGACTTTACAATGGAACAAACTCACCGTGCTGTTCATCACAATAGGCTTGAAATTACAGGACAAAGTCAATGACAGACTCGCACTGTTTTTGCATTATTTGTTGAAAAAAATGAACATATTTGACGTTAATACAATGCAGCTCTTTGTGCTCATTTCACACTTCGCATTAGGCAGATGAGGCAGGCTTTTGTAGTTTAAAGTTGGCCTGTTTAAAAGGTAAAAGTAATGAGAGCTTTAAACAAGTCTGTACAGTATCGTACTCTATTGTTTCATAAGCTTTCTTTTTTATTTACTGTCACAGCGGAAGAGAAGTGGAAAATAACACCCGGGTAGGACACTGTTAAGCCAATGCCACATACTGTACTATCTAGTTCTTGGGTTATATGTTCTCTACCTTTTCTTTTACCCTGGATTTGTAAATTTCTCCATTGTGAGATCAATAAGTTTTATCTTATCTCATCTCATGTTATTCCTTAGCCATACTGTGGAATATTCCAGGCAAAACATCCACATATCAGGCTCACGTCACCTGTATATAAACCGTTGCAGCTGCTTTTGATAGTAAATGTTGTCCAGAGGTTGCACTTATAAGCCACAAGTTTTCATGTTTCTTTGACTCGAGATATTCAAAGCCCTCTGTCAAACCCAATCTATTTTGACATTAACATTTCTACTAAAACTTATACTACTCAAAAGAATAATTCTTTAAACTGTTCTGACATTAACCCTCATAAAGGGTTGGGGGTGCTCGTAAGCTTCTTGTTTCAGCCCACTCCTTTTGAGAAGAATGAATGTCCAAATGAACACATAAATAAATAGATAAAATAAATCCTAATCATATAAAAAAGTGTGTTTTTTCCAACACTTCCTTGTATCGGCACTCTGCTGTTCACATAAACACACCAGGAAGCAGGAATGTGTGCAGCATGATTAGCTCTGGAGATCAACAGCGGACAGAGCGGTGTCCAAATCTGTTCCTGTACCTCAAGGAAAACTCTAAAACATATAAAAATACACACATTATAGGGTTATTTATGGGTTTCAAATGGATTTTAAAAAGTACCAGCTTTAAGTTAAGATGAATTTAAAGTGTGAGGAGGAAAGTGAGTGATACATTTGGCACAGAACAAATGTTTGAGGGAGAAGTGTAGGGTCGGAGAGTGTTTGGGTCTGTCTCTCGTGTGTGTGTGTGTGTTGTCTTGTATTATTCCAAGTGATATCGTATGGTGTTACTGCTCTACTGTTTTGCTTTTGTTAATGTTCTTTTTAACTATTTTGAGCCACTTTACAAAACGTTATTTGTGCCTTTTGTACTATTTTTTCCCTCGTTTTGTTCTGTTTGTAAAGATTTTGAAACTGACATCTTCATTGCTTGACGTTAGCAAAAGTCTCAAAAACATTTACACAAAAAATCTCCCATATTCAACCACATTCTGCATAATACAGTGGCATAGACAGATATCAAACCCAACTTTTCAAACTCTAAAACTTTCCTCGGCGAGAGTCTCTTTGGAGCTGCCTGGACTTATCCGTTTTCCATATGCAAGTGCCAGACAACGCATCCGTTTAATTTCAAACACTCGTTGCTTCCTTTGTGAATTGCCTATAGCTTTTGAACCACAGTTTTCACCCACGCAAAGGGGAGAGAGCGCGGCGATGCACTGACGGATAAGTCCACACAGGCCCACGGACAGTTGCAGCCACTTGGATAATAACCACGCTCGACGACAGGCTCTTGCCACCTGCCGATGACAAGCAGGGGGTGACATGGCCGTATATGTGATAGCCCTCTCTCGGTAATAAATAGATGTGACCTTCGACAAGCCAGTCACTCACAGGCGCGTTTGAATTCGTTCGCTGTTTCCGTCGGAGCAGCGGTTCCCACATGCAAGAGGCGACCTTGAAATCTCCTAAGGGCCTTTTGCACAAGCGCCACTCAATACGGCTCAAGGTTCGCCCTGATTCTCCGGCATTAGGCTGGTCTTCGCTGAACGGTGTTGAAAAGCAGAGGAGGAGGAAATTTGAGCGTCTGGTCAAGTGTTTAATGGATAGATAGGGGATAAAATGAATGAATGTGAAATTTAGAACTACTTAAAATCTGTATATCTCAATGAGAGGAGTTTGGGACAGAATACAGACAAGTTAAAAACATGTTTAAAATGGTAAATATAAGAAGTACGCAAGTTCATTGTATTGTAGTATGTGTCTGAATGGCTGGAGGGAATTTAATTTATATAAGATTTTTGCTTCATCCAATCACATTTCAAACCATGTACAGGTAAAGTTTTGTTTTAATTATTTCTTTCTGCAGATAATTGTTTGTTTATTGTGTGCATCTTTGAAATTAAATAAATAAAAAAGTGCTAAAAGTTGTGTGGTGATGCCTTCAGTACAGAGCGAGTAGTGGTAGAGAGGTGTAGGGTCAGAGTCTTATCTTGGGCCTCAGTGTGTGTGTTTTATATTGTACTTTTTTGATTACTTACTACTACTGTGAAATAAAAAGATGCATCATTAGCAGGCACTTCTATGTTTCTGTCTTTAGATAAAAACATAAAGATAATAGAGCTGGTTATTACTGTCTTTCACGTAAATAATTTTCCAGAACCTCCCAAGCTAACCCCAAACCAGAACCAGGCCATCCAATATTCTCTGTAATCTCCCATGGTGGAGACTGTTTTGTCCAGTTGTTCTGCACCCATCAGGTTAAACTTTCAGATACTGTATTTCATAAAATAATCTTCTCTCTCTGTTGGCCTTGGTGCTCTTTGCCAACCGCTCACAAATCCTTTCCCCAAAACCACACAAACTATTGGACAAACAGGATCTTCACTTTAATTTGAGGACAACCAGCTCAGTGACAGAAGGTTACTACAAAACCTGTGAGAATATCAGGATGTAGGATGTAGAAAAATATCAGGATGTAGAAAATGGAAGTATATCTGATGGTTATGGTCTATACGCTTTATTTCTGAAATTAATTTAAAGTTAACATTAAAGGGCCTGTATGTCTATTAGTGGTCTGATAAAGTCATCACAATTACACATGTAGCTCCTAAAACATGGATTACTGAAAAACCACATTCTTCGGTTTAGCTATGAACAGTACAACGATGTATTATGCATAATAAAACTGCTTTGTTGTTTGAGAGTTGTGTTATAGAAAACAAACTTCAGAAAAAAATTTAATATGCAGCTAAATCCTTTCACCTAACAAACTCCGGTTAAAACAGTTGTTCAGAAAAGGTTATCTATGAGTTGTCATACCTATTATCTGGGGACACATATAAAGATGTATACGTAATTTAACAAATATTACACATTTCCATTATGTAAGAAATTATATTTTCCTCAAACACTTTCCTCACTTTCCTCAAATCAAATTGTTGTTTTTCATTCTGATGTAATGGTTCAAAAGGCCATTCCGCCAACAATCTCACCTGGTTACCTGATTTTGTGTTGGCACTGATAATCTGACAGAAAGGGGGAAATTAGAATCAATACAACAATTTCCCCATTTATTTTTAAGACTGAACTGTGGTCGCACTAAAATGTATTCTTGTTCAAATGAAATGCATTACAAAAGCAGAGGATTTGACCAGGACTAAGGCAGAACTAAAAATGCGGGACTAAAAAAGGCAGAAAAAGTCTAAACTGGAAATGCAGCTATCTTTAAACAACCAAAGTCCTCAGAGTACTATTGAAGGAAGTCATTTCTTCACAGTGGGCTCTGAACCTCAGTTTGAGACAGTCGGCTAGTTTGATCAAAAACAAAACCGTGTGGATAAAAACCTCATTCCTCTTGTCTATAATCCCAGGTTTGTGAGAATGACCTGCGATCTACAGCAGCATGTTTGCCGTATAGGCGCAGCAGCAGTGGGCTAAAGCAGGGGGGGGGAGCCAATCAGTGCCCTGCCCGCTATCAGAGAGGGGCTTGTGGGGGAAACGGCCTGTGTAAGCCTGGCAGTGTGGAGGTGAGCAAATGTTACAGCAGAAATAAGCAAGTGCAGCCAAGCACAGAGAAGGCTGATGGGCCGGAGCGCACCGCGATAAAAAGCAAAGTGGATCCGGTATCTGCAGTTTTTCCCCCCGCGGACACGCCGATGTCACAGCCAGGCACGGCAGGGGGGATCTCTGAAGGTGTTTACCGCACAGTGCAATTACAAAAAACAAAGGTCTTTAATGTGCAGTGGAAGGATGGGAGGGTGTGGTGTGTGGCAGCTGGAGTATGGGTCAAAAGCGTTCGATGGAGACTGAATGTGGTGTAGAAATCACTAGTCTTGCTATTTGCAAATAAATCTATTAGCAAATTAGCGAAACAAATAGCCCGACAGAAAGATGTCGGACTGTTACTAGTTTTTTGCAGACCATAGACCGTGGGCGGCAGTAGCTCAGTTGGTAGAGCTTTGGCCTTTGAGCCAGAAGGTCGTGGGTTCAAGCCCCGCTCAAGACTTTCACCATCGACTCCCACTGACTACTGTCGTTGTGTCCTTGGCAAGACACTTAACCTCTGGGAACACCAGCCACAGTGGGGCGGCTGCGGCTGTAAAGTGCCAAACTGCCGTTGTGTCCTTAGGCAAGACACTTCACCCCCATTGCCTAGAATGAGTCTTGTGTGTGTGAATGGTTGGTGGTGGTCGGAGGGGCCGATGGCGCATACTGGTTGCCTCGCTTCTGTCAGTGTGCCCCAGGGCAGCTGTGGCTACAGCAGTAGTTTATCACCACCGTGTATGGAGTGAATGAATAATGACACATGTGAAGCGTCTTTGAGTGTCCAGAAAAGCGCTATATAAAACCGATGCATTATTATTATTATTATTATAGAGCTGTGTGAAACTCATTCTGGTCCGGGGGCAAATATAAAAGACAGTTTCAAATAAGGCGCTGCACAGCCCAGTAGCCTGAACTAAACTTACTGAAATTCAAAAAGGGGCACAATATGTCAAATAAAACTGCACAGCTATGTAGGATTGTGACTTTTCAGAATAAGGCCCTTCATAAGACATATTTCAACATTTATTTCCGATGAAGAGCTTAGCCCGAAACGTCCCGAAAGGTCACAAAAGAATCAAGAATGATGCTAAATATTCAACTACTTTTCAACACAGTGCGTTTAAAAGGGAAACTGGTCTTTAATCAATACACAATAGAAAAACTCACAACCCTCTAAGATACAGAAAACAGAGAAATAGAGAAATATTGTAGATATATTGAGTAGTAGATGAATAGGTAACAACAGTTTTTTTTTTAAAGCTAGCACCATGTCAAATGAATACTTATAAAAACGTACAAGATTTTTTAACTAAACTTTCTCAAACATATTTCTCTTTGCACTGGTTCCATCGCAAGAAAGTCAAATTGAAAAGTTTAACACAATTTGAAGCTGATCTGTAGAAAGCCCTGTAAGTCACTATTTGATCCTCAGTGCTTGAAGCTGATTGGCTTTTTCACTTTTGTGTCTGAAAAGGCTGATTTAAGGATGTGACAAAGGCCACAAATACATACTTGTGAAAACTAGTGATAAATACAGACTAAACTGTTTTGAGAGCTATAGGTGAGTCGGTAAAGAGAGACTTTATGAGGTTCTTTTTTGTTGTTTGATAATGATAGGTACCTCAGCTTTTCTACAGAGTCTTATGAACTCCTCTGCTCCAAAGCAAAGCTCCAAACCGAAGCAAATTCTCCTCATGCGCGTTTATTTGATTGTTTAAGCGCCGTTTCCGGAAACCAAGTTGTGCCGCCGCCGGGAGCTGCCTTGTAACAATTATGAGGTTAAAAGGCATCTGGCCACACAGGAGGGCATTCGCTGCTGGCAAAACGGGAGCAGAGGTCACGGTCTCTCCAGGAACTCGACATTTCTCAGGGCTGCGAAACAGGTGGAGCCGAGCCCAGTGTTTACCGAGGCCGCGGCGCAGGACGGGGATCAGGCCGACACGCCAACATCACCTGAGAGAGGGTTGCTTCAGAGGCGTACAGACTTGTTTGTGTTGGGATTTTAGAAGAAGAAATATCATGCATTATTTTTGTCTGTTAGAAATGATAATCAGACGAGTTAGAATAAGTTAAATAATGTCTTAAGTAGAAAAATATATGGGGAAACAAGGATGAAGGGTGAAATATGCTTTCTGCCTGTAACTCTCTATGCAACCACCAGAGGGAGAAGTTTTTTGCAAACACATCCTTGTAATTAATGAGATCGTCATGTCACCTGAGAAACTGCTAAGACTATTGTATGGGCACCACTTGGCAAAAAGTGTGAGGTCATAGAGGCACAATTGTTATGTGGTATACAAAGATTTAGATTACACACATATTTTCGCATATATCAACGTGAGACACATAATGAGTTCACAGTTCAAAAAGCTGTTGGATGACACAAGTACTTACTATTTGATTCCAACCCCCACGGCCATGCCTCACAGTATAGTGACATCGTATTATTACAAGACTGAGACAGGAGCTTTTAAACAGAAGGGGCGGAGTTAGGGCTGGGCGATATGGCTGAAAACTATATCACAATATAAGTAATTCAGATCGGTCAATAACGATATATATCGAATGTTTTTTATTTATTTTTTAAAACATAAAAAAATACATTTGTCGTGTAGGCTAACACATGTTAGCAGCATTGTTTACAGTCACGGAGGAATGAGGCTGGAGCCAAATGTTCACAAGCAGTCTCCCCCACTTTAGTCCTGGTTTAATCCTGGTTTAGCTCCTGTTTTGGTTGTTTTCGAGTGTCGTGTCCCCGTGGCGGCTCCGGAAAATGCCGAATGCATCAAGTCTCTGTGTCCACTGCCTCTCCCGCCGCACATGCTGTTCCTCGCACGGACGTGTTTAACCATTGACACGGCACTGAAACACGATCTTTAGATCCATGGCTATTATAATAGATCCATGATCCATGGACGCTACGCATGGTGCGCTTGTTTTTTTGCTTTTCCCAGAAAGTTTAGTGGTTTGTAGTCGGCTGTGATAGGCCGAGAAACCTTTGCCTACATCCCCCAGAATGCCGTGGGCTTCTGACTCAACTTTACTTCCTGTGTTTTGTTCCTGTTTTTTTCGAACAGACTGAAGTGAAACTATTGAAGTTCTATCGACCCCGTTTTCTACTGATATCGAACATGCGTCTATCGCAATATATATCGTTATCATTTTATCGCCCAGCCCTAGGCGGAGTTACATGTTTGTGCTAAAAGTTCCTGATATTAGCGTGCGTGGATCTTACAACGCCTCCAGGTCTGCGGCTGCAAAAAAAATAGTTTATTTTGAATGCAACATCTCCTTTAACGGTTGCTTTTGTATTTTATAGAGCACTTTGGGTTGCCTTGTGTATGTGCTATTCAAATAAACTTGCCAGGCCAAATGGGGATTCAAGGAACTAGAGCAGTGCCAAACAGCAAAAAAGATTGAAAGATCAAAATCTCAACTTTGGTCGCTCGTGATTACATCAATAATGTGGTAGTAACCGTTTTTATATACAGGCTCCAGCCAGCGCTGATTGGCTCCAGGGGCTTGTTGTTCTGTCACTTTTTTAATTGTGGAGAAAATTCATACCACAAGTTACTGATATTAGCGCACTCTAGGTCAGTGCCTGAAAAATAACCCAAACACAGGTTGATAAATTCATAAATATGTTGTTCATAAAGAGTTGGTAAATAGTTCTAGTGAGTACAAAGTGTAATGGCCATAGCTCAAACTCAACTCACAGGGACCTGGAGCTGAACCCACCAGGAAGGGCTTAAGCGTCAAGGATTAGGCTCTAAAAGGCATTTGGAGGCCCTGCACTGCAAAAAATAACCCAAACACAGGTCGATAAATCCACGAATAATCTGGATTTGGATAAAATAAAGTCACATTTCTTGATGGAGAAAGTCACCTTTGTCTTGGTTTTATTTTAGCAGCATTAAATCTCGACAATATCTTAGACACTACAGGGGCTTGTTCTGGTGGAAAATCTTACTTTAAAGTGAAGGTATGTCACTTTTTCAATTGTGGAGAAAATTCACACCATAAAACAGCACTATAACGATCTGCTAATATCTGCCCCTGGACAGAATCAATGAAACAGACAAGCTCTCTCCCCATTGGTCTTACTATTGTTCTCCAAATCTCACTGGCAGTGATACAAAATGAAATGTCAAAATATGATAGGACTAATGGTCAAACATTTTCTTTTAAAAAAGCGAAATGTTTTACGTTAAGTTACTGTTATCACTTTTCACATTAAAAGCTGGGTTAGATCAGCTTTTTCAGACAGACTTGTGTAAAAGAGAGTACCGCTCTTGATCAGCCAATCAGCTCTCTGCCCAAATCATCAAATAGTGACTCACAGGGCTCTTTCTTACAAGTAGGAAAAAGTTAAACAAATGTGTAATAAGATGTAGACAGCGTGTTATGATTGAAATTATTTAAAAAAGATTAAGAAAATACTAATTATGAAACAAAAAAGTTAGGTCCCTCAGCTTTAATACACTCAAAAACCCACGTATCAATTTTTTCAAACTTATTTTTTTGCAGTGTGAATCAAACACATGCAGCGCAGAGGCCGGGGCAAACACCCAGACATTATGTACACAGAGAGAGAGAGAGACCCCACAATCAAACAGGCTCTATATGCACCACACCTGCAGGAAGGGCCCTCAGCCACAGAGCAGGGGCCTCAGACGGGCAGCAGCTGGTGCAGGGGTGGGGGTCCGACGCTGGTGCACTGGTGCTGCCCCGAGGCTATAAGGTCAAGGCAGCGGCCGGAGAAACACATGAGGATTGTTTTCACTGGAGCGAGAGCAAACAGCGCCGGACGAGCCCAGAGCTGACCCCGTATTAACACGACGAAGGGGAAACCGCCACGCTAATGACCGGAGACCTCTGACATCACCTGAGCCACGCCCACCAGGAAGTGAGTGGAAGCCGTGGAGAGGGCGTAATCAGCGTTAGACAGATGTTTGGGAGCACTGCTTGGTTTTTTAGAACTTTCATCTTTTCACTTGTGTTTTTTGTTTGATCTTTCAGTATTACAAGATATTTAGTAATGATTGTATTGCTGGAACTTTAAACGCAGAACTACCTCATCAACTATTTTGTTTTTTTATGCAGGTAAATACATACACAGATGGATAAAGTTATTAATCTCATGACGGTAAATGCTGAAAGGTTTTTGCCAGTAGCCAATACAGATAGACAGACAGATACATAGAATCATAACATCATTTTGAAGGCCTTATATAATTTGAATATTTTAAAATGACAAAAATGTAGTGGCATGCAGACACACACACCTAAACTGGCACATTTGCACGCACACACATGCACACAAATACGCACACAATATAGTCTATGGCACACACACACTCTTTAAACTAGGGCAGACCTTATTGATTCACACACACACACACACACGCTCACACACACGCACTCACACACACACGCACACGCACACACACACACACACACACACGCACACACCAGCTTGTGTAATGTTTATAGTGATCAATAACTTTTAATATTCTTTTAATATATATTTTCACATTTCTCACATCCTCCTAAAGGTTTTGATTAGGATTTTTTAAGTAGACCATGCAAAATTATAGTTCTTCCCTTTGGTTTTCCTATTTTTAGGTCAAACTATTGCTTTTTCTCCTAACTTAAAGTCAACAACCCCTTGTTTTAAGTACAACATCAACTTTAGATCATTTTACTGAGTCAAATTGGCCCAACTCTAGATCAAATACAACATCCAGTTTATTACAGTGCAAGACTTTCATAAACATAGAGCATTTTAATTATTTTCAGTGATTATTTGAGGACGCTCAAGTGATTGATTTGAATAATGTCACGTTTTTACATTAGTCCATCGTGCCCTAACAAAACACCACCGTTTCGCCATTACACATGCATAATCGTGGCTTCCATTCATTTAAATATGTTTGATCCTGCTATCGCTGCCTTGCCACCACTTCAAACTTCTGCTCCCAGCCACTTCTCCCAATAATAACACCTTCTGCTGCACTAAAAACTCATTTAATTCCCTCTAAATTTGCCGTGCGGATTGGCGAGCAGTTGCAGCAGCGGGGTCGACTTGCAAACGCCGCGCAAAGCCAAGAAAAATCTAATTGGTCCGGCCAGTTAACATCAAAGAGGAGCTTTCTAAAACGCATTCACACTGAGCTGAGCCTTATATGGTCGCACGCTGTAATAAGGGTCATTCTCCAACATTTCACTTTGATCTGAAATTACAATTTTTATTTGGGGAAATTCTGCTCGTAGCGTTGGCTGCAGCTCGGCCCACCTCTGCCGCTGATACTGTTTTGCATTTTCAGTCTTTGGTGAAAACAACATGACTCATATACACACACACACGCGCACACACACACCTACACACGCACACACAATACTCACACACCTACACACACATTTACAAAGTCGCATAGACACACGCAGGCACATACGCACACACACATACACACACATATACACATACATTTACAAACTCGCACGACACACACAGGCACATACTGTACACACACGTACACACACACAACAGTCACACACATACACAGACATTTACAAACTCACACACACACATGTACACAAGGCCAGAAACACACACACACACACACACACTGTTAATCAAAATTCTGCCTGTTTTTTTAAGAGACATGGGACAAAATTAGGATTGCCCAAGGTCTACACTGACAAACACAATCAAATATGAAAAATAAAATAATATTTCAATAAACTATGATCAAACTATTCTGAAAAAAACAAAACAATAGAGTAGAGTAGAGAGAAAATGACTTCTGGATCCAGTAGAATAACATATTACTTCCAATCATTTGTATCTAATCAGTTGTATGAATGATGTATGAATCCATAACCATCAATATAAATAATTCGTATTCTATTTTAAAATATAATTTGCTGAGAAACAGTAGCTTAAAGAATTATAGTAATATTTGCATTATTTTAGTAAAGATAATTTTGTATAACTTGTTAATTGACAAGATTATTTCGTACAATTCAGTCAGTTATGAAATAATCTCTCTGGGCTGTGCTTGGTTATGGAAAAAAAACTTAAAATTAAATATAATTTATCAGTCTAATTTTTACAACACAAAAGCAAGAAAATACAAAGTTTATTCAACATATAATAACAATTAAGTGCATTATTTTCTATTCTGTTAACCTCGAACATCTCCCTGTAATGACTCCTGCTTCCTTAAATCTGGGGCATCTTCTTTTTTGTTTAGCTTGTTCCAAAAGAAAGAGTTTTGTAAAAATGAAATTGTTTGAGCATCTCAGACCGCAACATTCGGACGATATCTTATTAAAAAACATGTTATCTTTAAAGGCCTATTTGTAAGACAGATCCCTGAGAGTCACTTTTGGACAGTTTGGGTTGAGAGCGGATTGTCTGAGTAAAGGTGGTCCTCTCTTTGTCTCTTTTTTCTCTGAAAACGCTGATCTAAAAGCTGTGACAGAGAAAAAACATTCTTGTAGTTATTGAGAGCGAGAAACTATAGACTGGAGTTCAATTTCGTTGCTGTTCGAAATTTAGGCACACCAGCTTTAACGGCATCATTTTGGTTTCTCATTCACCCATATTTTCTTTCTTCCACCACTTCAGAAGCCCCCAAACTTACACAATCAGGCCCATAATTGAAGTGTAAATACAGGAGACAGTAACGACATCTCCCACTGCACTGTAAAAAAACGAATCAAATAATCATTGTCCATGTCCCATTGACAAATCAGTCAAAATTTGCTGAAATGAAGATACAATTTGCCACATTTGAGACATTCTTGACTAATTTCATCACTTTTTGCGGGGGTTCCCTTCTTCAGCAGCTTACACAAGAGTCTGTGTCGAAATGTTGCAGGCCCTGACTCTCTCTCGGCCTCTGTCATTACCCCCAAACACCACATTACGGGCACAAAATAAAACATTTGCCTCGTAAAAGTCACCTGGGTGGAAAGTCCCGTCACAGGAGCCTGAAGATGATCATTTAGCTCAAATTGATAGGAGCTTGTTGACTGGGTTTATAGCAGTCTGGATTTCCCTTGTAAAAAAAAAAAAAAAAAAACTTCCCCAGAGCAAGAGCAAGGCGGTATTACAATAACTTAAGTAACTATTTGGGGAAATTATACTGTTAAATCTGTTTTCTTAAAGATGCGTCTTCATTTTCGTTTACTTACAATGCGGCGTTCACCAAAGTAGTCATTTCACCAACGTTCAAACCTCGTTTTATCGACAATTATGTTTTGGATTTGAAACCGCAGTGCGTCACTTATGGCTTTTGACTCTTCATTTATCTTTGTGGTTCAGCAGTTTTCATTTTTCCAATCTAAATCCATTGACACAAACAGTTTTAAGGCTTTTATTGACCTGTTGCCATGGAGATGCTCAGTGTAGTATCATATGACACTTGTATATGATTAAAGTACAGATGTTTTTACTGCTTCAAAACTTGAATACTTATGTTTTGTCAACAGATCTGTAACTTAGTCATAAATTCATCATCTCTGTTGTGGAAAATTGATCGCCATTCTAAGGCACTCGTAGAGCACAAACGTCCGCCAAGAGGCACAGTTCTGTTTGTTCCTGGATCCAAATGGTGACTGGATCACCTCCAGAAACAAATAATTTGTTTCAACAACTTACAAAGTTTAAAAATCTGACCCAGGAGAAAACAGATGGACCCAAGTTTTAAAAAGGATCTTTTCTTGTTTTAAATAAACTTGACCTGGAATTTCCTGCCTGCTTTTTATTACCTCAATATGAAACTTTTTATTACCTCAATATGAAAAATGTCTAATATATAAGTCATTTATGCAGTATGTTTTCCATGTAGTCGATTCAAATTTAGTAACCATATTAAAATCAACCTTTAAAAAGCTATAATTTCACTTCTTCTGGTATATTAACAAAAAGTTTACAAGGTTTTCACAAACTCACTCTCATCACTGCATCTTAAATTCTAATTACTGTTTATTTGTTGCCCTTTGAATGAATAATCGTTGCATAATCCTCGGTAAAACCCCATTCTCAACCATCTCTCCCGACATAATCGACAGTAATAAAAGCCTTCTTGTTTGTGCATTGACTTCTGCTTTCCATCAATCAAAAGTCACTTGAGCAATCTCTCCATAAAGTACATTTACTGCGTGCGTTGCGGTGTTTTGGCAGTATCGGACATGCTTGTATAGACCTTGGCTCGCTTGGCACCTCTCGGCCTGCGATAAAAGAGCCGGAGTGTGGCGTGTTCGGGCACCGAGCAGCTGTGTGGCCCCCGTAATGAGAACGGGCTGCTACATTAGAAACCAGTGCTAATGCTAAAGGATCATATGCAGTGGAAGAGGAGGCTTCATCCACTTATTAGGCTAATGTAATGGAGTCGGCTAATCCCAATGCCCCCACTGTATGTGCACAATACAGGCGGCCTGTTTGACCTACACTCTACAAAACGGAATCGGATCAAAACAGATCTAAACGGGTGTAAAGACATTTAAAACAGGTTTAAAATAGAAGCTAAATACTACTTTTTTACTTACTTACTAGTATGTAACTTTATTAGTCAAGTCAAAACTGAGTCAAAGATTAAACTTATTATTGAGTGGTGAATCGTTCATCCATCAATCCATTTTCTTCTGTTTTAGCAGAGACTTCCCTATCTACACACATTCCCTCCGGCTCATCCGGGTGAATCTGAGGCATTCCCAGGCCAACTGAGAAACTCTCCAAAGTGTCCCGGGTCTTCCCTTGGGTCTCCTCCCGCTGGGTGAGTGGCAAATCGTTTACCTGAAAACTATGGTTCTGTTTCAGTCAGG